ACTAGAACTCGTGTGAGAATGTTTTTAGCTACACACCACTTAATCAACAGACACACACACATTGATTTGCTTCATGTTTTGACTACTGCTATGGCCAGCTGCAAAGCTGGCACCAGGAGACGTCACGGTTTGGCGTCTCCTGAGTAGAATGGGGTTAGCCCGAAGTGATATAATGTATAGGCCTGTTGTGGTTCGGGGTCTTTCATCTTCCAGCTGCCTGCGTGCATATTGGAGGTGTAATGTTAATTTTTACCTGTGTTCATTGAATAAATCAGCACTGTTTTGAAGTTACTTGGACTGCCTCGTCTCTCAGAATTAGCATGGTAACAAGAACTGGTTAGCGCAACACTACCCACTGAATCACATTCGCCTCCATTTTCTATCTAAATCAATTAAAATAAACCTAAGATTTTTCATGGATGTTAGGCATTCTGTTTTTGTGTTCTATCACTCTAAGAAATGTAACATCAGTTTAACGTAGCCTGCTTATATCAACTGCCATCACAAAACTGGGTTGAATAAATACAAAAATTAATTAAAAGCTACATCATATAGCTATATTTTATATTAGCTTACAATGGTTCACTGACTCTAACCTGTGGTTCACAGTCTCAGCCACTGCCTGTGGGATTCATGTGTTTATAAGTACCAGCTACTTTGTTGAAAGCTTGTGGCCATAACATTCCTGATGAAATGACGGCCTGTTTCACCTAACTTGTATTTTTATGCTGAAATGATAAATTAACTTGAAAAATACTTTTTTTTTTTACTTATCTGTTTTGTAGAATGTGTCTAATTGATTGCTCATGGGCTACTCTAAGTTTATGACCGTGAAAAATAAACTGTAACAGGAAACTTTGTACATTTGAGCGCCCACAAAATGCCATAGCTCACTGGTCAGGGTGGAATGAAAAGTAAGCTTCAAAAAACATAGACGATCTTTGGCAACAAGTGGGCGTTGAGTTCCTCTCTCCCTCCCTCCCTCCGTGGGTCAGCGTGGGCGGCCCCGTGTGGCAGGAGGAGAGCGAAACACGACACCCCGCCAGAGGAAGGGGGGGTTGAGAGAACACGAAGTGGGTGAGTGAGTGGAAAAAGAAAAAGTCCGTGCCGGAGAAAGAGAGGGCCAGAGAGAAGAGCAGAGTTTGTTTCACAGAGAAGCATCGCTGATTTGTCGGTGAGGATGATGATGTGGAGGAGGAATCGACATCGTTAAACAAATGGGATGAAGATTTAGACTCGTCGCATTCCGTTGCTTCAGCATCGACCAACGGCAGCACGACTCCTCCAAACTTCGACCTTCGCCATTCAGACCCGGGCGACTGTATTTCCCCCCCCCAGAGGCTCTGGGCAACTTTTCTCATCTGAAACTCGTGCTGAAAAACAAATACCTCCGCAAAAAAAAAGTTACCGAGCAAACGTCGATGAGTCGAGATAAAAAGCAGAACTTCATACGAAGTTAGTGGAGTTTTTTAGCTTGAAAGCGTCGCTCATACTTGGGTCGGGTCCTTTCTAAAGAGCCGCTCCTGAGAACAACACCGGAGGAAGGAGTGGGGTGTTACTGCTAACTCCGCTAGCTAACCTAACTTGGCTAAGGCTAGCTAACTGACGTCTAAAGTTACCAGCCGACGGGGAAAGTGACTGAAGCAGCACACCAAAGACGACAACAAAGATGAAAACCCCGGCAGACACGGGTAAGTCGATGGTCACACATATGAAATGAACTTTTCCGACGCTGCTGTCGTTCTTCAAATGGAAACAACGGCGTCTGTAGGGTCGGTGGCTAGCTGTTAGCATGCTAACAAACTCTCGGTTCCAGGGAAAGTGTGACAAAATTATGGCGCTACTGTGGATCCATCCGACTCTCTTGTTATTGTTTCAGTGCGCCTAGTAGGTCGCTCACACCTAGGACCGCTTTATTTTTCAGCTACAGTTAATTGAGGCGGGTATGAATTCCATTTTTATAATCTTATGTCCATTACGCTTAACTTTTAAAGGATGTTTAAACTTGTGTGCTAAGAGGTATACAGTGAGGGGAACTGTAACGTTAGCTCAGTTTCCCGGATCCATGGTAAGGAGCGAGGGTCAGGACCAAAGTGCACCGACCATAACTTTGCTTTTGAGTTGTAGTTTATGCAGCAATACACAACGACTCGGATCTAATTTAGTGAAACAAAAGCGTAACACCACTTGTAAGTGAATCAAATTATCAGAACCTTGATAGTGGTGCACCCCGTTTCTCTTTATTTGAAAAAGACAAGGTAAAGGTGTTGAGACGGGATGGCAGGGATTTTTATGTATGTTATATTTCAGGAAATGCAACATAGAATAAATATATCGCCTCTCTATGTCAAGGATGTGAGTGACAGACTGGGCAAAGTGCTTATCGGTTTTTGCGTTTTGATTATTTTAGATTAAGGTCTCAACCAACACTCATTTTCATGTATCACACAACCTGCAGTGAAAGGTAAAAGTTCAAGGTACTTGATTGTCCATTAGACATGGCTGAAAACGTCAAATAAATACAGTAAAAAGACAAATACAGTAAAAAGACAAAAGTATCATAGTATCACATATATATATAAAAGCCACACGTTACATATAAAAAAACAATTAAACTAATTGAAACAGGTCTTTAAAAAACAAAACAAGTTATAACTCTGTGTTTGTTCCTGTTGAGATTGAGTGTGATGGAGGTGGCTGTTCCACCTACTGAGTGAATGTACAGTTCAGATAAGTATTACTTGAGACGAGCCAGTTACTTTAATGATGATTCTGGACAGTTTTGTCTTGCCTTTAACAGTGTGATTGGTAATGGGGTGGTGGTTAACTGAGATAGTTAAACTCACCTGGATTATGCTGGATTGTTGGCGCAAGACTTAAAATAAATCAGGAAACATTTTGTCCCTTTGTTTGGAAAGCTCAGTGGGTTCTCTGTTTCCTGTGAGTAAATCTGTTCGACCCTTGACAAGAAGTGTATTGTTTTAACAACTAAGCTGCTTCAGGATTTTAAATAAATTCAACTCAGAAACCTTAAGTCCTGCTATTTCAAATTTTGCTCATTTTTGGTTTTATTGTTTCAGTTTTCCATCCATAGGTTATGATTGTCCCTTGATTGTGCTTTTAAACTCAGTTAATCAGTAGTGTTGTGTTATAATCTTGGGCAGGCAAAGACCCAGTTCCCATAATAGATGTTTAAGAGGGGAATGCCACACCAAAGCACGTCATAATTAGAAATATGACTTCTAGGACTCTGCTGCCACAAATAACTTTTTATATCACAAAACGATTATCCAAAAACTTAAAACACAACTTTTTCCACAGTGGGTGAGAGGTGGAGCAGGAACAGGGCTGACACACAGACACAGACAAACATTCACGCTCATGCCTATGGACAATTCGGAGCCGCCAGTAAACGCAGTTAACATAACCTGCATGTCTTTGGACTGGGGGAGGAAATCCCCAGAGGCAGCATGTAGCAACATGCAAACTCCACACAGAGACTGCAAGGTTCGAGCCTAGAACATTCTTGCTGTGGCTTCATGCAGTTTGGCCATGTTTACAAATAAAATTTTATGAGATTCTGACAATTTCTTTCTTAGTGCCCTGCTCAGAGAAACAGCGCGGCCTATTTCAGGGCCTGTACCAAACATCTCAGAGTAAGAACTCACTGGGCTGTGGCTCAGGAGGTAGAGTGGATCGTCCCCTCACCTAACGGTCGGTGGTTTGAGTCCTGGCTTCGCCGTTCTACGTGTTATACTATTCAGTATAGTATTAATAGCCTGTCACTCATGGATTGATCTAAAAGCAGGATTTGACTGTTGTAGTTGGTTGAGGTTGTTGTTAATTTATTGTAGGCGCACGAGAACGCAGCCAGACCTGACCTGTCTGTGCCTTCACACATTTGTGTGAGCTGGGAAAGTTTTTGCATGTTTCTGGGGTCAAATCAGGATCTGTGAGATATCTTTTGTAAGTCAGAGATGAGTGAGCGAACACATGTTTAATGTTTGAGGTTTGAGATTAAAGTTACAGACAGGACACATACTTTGGCCTGTACAGAGAAATGGTGTTCTCAGAACCGTTCATTTCTGAGATATCCAACGTTATCCTGCGCTGCTGATTTAAATTTCTTTTTTGCTGGATAAAGTTTGCTGGTTTCAGCCTCCTTCTCTCTGCCATTTTTCCGCTTCATGTGTGCATGTGGCACCTGTAGCGGAGTATGACAAGCAGTCGGGGAAGAAAGGTGCGCGTGCATTTTTTTGTTGTTGTTGTTTTTTAAATACTGGTAATAAGCAAATGTGCATGGTATGATAACTGTCAACATTCATACCATGGTATATCGTAAAACTGTTGCCTGAGCAAGAGCATTTTATTAACATAGCTAAATTAGGAAATCACTCCACCACTCTACTAAAATATAGGAAAGCTTGTCTTAGAGTTGTCCTAACTGGGCAGGAGGTGGTGTTCCTGGTTTTGTTGGAGTCATCAGTGGCGCACACATTAAAATCATTGTCCTGTTGAAGATACTTATATGAATGGAATATGTTATCACAGCCTCAGCACTCAGTTGGTTGTAAATTCATATTACATGGTCTTAGGCCCATATCCACACAGGAGAGGCCCCCAGTGAGAATGGACTATCATTTTATCTCTTTATATACTGCTCTGTTATAGGAATTTAAGGCAGATGATGATAATTCACACAGCTGAATAACATTGAGTGCTTTGCCAGTGAACTTAAGGCCTCTTACAGAGCTTGACTTGGTATAGATCAGAATTTAAAGTCTTCACTTGAAAAGTGGTGTTTATCTCAGCTTCCAGATGTCTAAAACTACAAACTTCAACTGTTTCACTACACCTCCCTATAATGTTCTGTGTGTCATACAACAGCGACATGCTGGTTCTTAGGAATAGGATTGAGAGTAGGATGCTTCATAAATAACTTATACATCCTGCTCTCAGGTGGGACTGTTTTTATTCCTCAGGGAGCTTTCTGCATGGTTCCTGGGAGCCATTCTGAGATACTCAACAAACATAAGCCCCGATATATTAACATCATATTTTGACTTAATGACTTCCATTATCCAGAGGACTAGCAATGTCACGCGGCACTTCCATTAGTTAAAAAAAACTCTGACCACGTGCCACGCAGCAGAGGATAGATCACTTTGTCTATCTGTAACTGATTTTCCACTTTGGTTATGTTGTGTTAGACTTATAGTCAAGTTAAAGAAGCTACATGCTGTTGTCGGTGTGCTGATTTGGCTGTAAAATAAAAGCCAACTTGGTTTGGATGTTCTCAGCAGTTCCTATTTCTCAGAGTTTATTGTGTGATTCATAGCAACTTCGCTTAGTTTCTAGGGAATGAAGTAAAGCTTGCACTGTTGACTCAGTGCTTAAATGAAGTTGTGAAGCTTTGTTACATCCGTGTGTAAAGCATCCCATTAGGAAATGATGACCTGTGTCCAGATTCCAGATTGTATTAATGTGTGTGTGTGTATGTATGTATGTGTATATATAAACCTCCACTCTCTTCCTACCAGGAAGTCAGCAGTCTGGCCCACCAACTCTAGTTTTCCATCTGTGTTACTCCTTATATCAACAACGCGCCACATGTAAGACGTCACAGCTGTAGATGGCCGGGGCCAGTGAGCCAGCACACTCTGTTGCACTCTGTATGTATGAGTGTATGTTGGAACACTGTGTGTCTGTGGGGTGAATAGAGCCATACATAAATTAGCTTGTGTTAAGGGCTAGACTGCTGTTTATTACTGTGAGTGTATTTATGTATTTTTGTGTGTGTTTGTTTATCCTCATGTGTCTGTCATGTACAGTTCTACCTGACATTGATGTGGTCCCAACAAAGAGTGTTTGACTTTTACCAGTGAGACCAAATTGCTCTTGAGGAAAACAATTTGGTTGTGGTTGGCTCTGCCTATTGTAATTACAAGAAGAGCATAGATGTCGTCATGTAGATTCAAACAGCTCACATAACACAGGTTAGAAAAAGCTTTTAAAGGCTCGTTTTTGTTAAAAAAAAAAAATGATGCTGTTAGCTTCCTTTAGAAAGGACTCTGTGTTACTGTCTCACCACTGTGCTGAGCTATGTTGCTGGCAATTTCAAAAGCGACAGCACAATTACTTTAGAAGTTGAGGCCAAGTTGTTTGTCTCAGAGAATATCTGAGAAGAGCTGCTGGTGACTGATATACACCCTGGTGGTTACCTGCTATTTGTTTTAGGACTCTGTCTCTATGTGAATTAATGGTGTATTCTCTAGTGCAGGACATGGTGCATCTCAGCCCCTGCCAGCCCAGAGTGAAGAGGTGGCATCTTTTGCACAGAGAGAGTGGGACAAAGAAAGAGCAAAGACCAGGGTTAACATCAGTTTGGGTTTTTGACACAGAAATGGTTAAAAGCAGCCAAAGGACTCAGATTTGATTCAGATGTGTTAGCATCTAAGATATTATGTTTGTGTTGGTAACATTAGCGACCTAGCATGGTCACGATTTTGCCTTTGTATTGAATTAAAATGATTTTAATTTGGGAGTAATTTCAGCTTTAAAATATTCTAAATGCCAATGTTCCTTTCAGGATGTACAGTTTTGCTTGTTTCCCTCCCATTTCATGGTTAGTGTGAGTGATCAGGTCAGCCTTTACGTTACCTGTTCACATTCCTGATTACTGCTGAGCCAA